CAATGAGCTAGATTTTTTTTAAACGTTGTAAGAGGAAAGCGAACAAGCTATAGACACTGCCTCTGTAATTTTGAAGACGTCGGTGTGTTCCTTTTCCAGTGTAGCAGCCCTTTCATGGAATATTATTTTCTTAGTGCTTTTTATGATGGTGTAAAGCGAAATCCGTATTTTGTGATTGTGAAGGACTAGACAGCAATACACTAAAGCAATGTAGATCAAGAAAGGAATTAATCAAGGCAGACTTAAACTAAAGCTATAAAGATCTAGAAGCCAGGTATGACTGTGAAATGCTAGACAGCAAGGTACATAATGTAAATGTAAAATGCCTCTGCGGCGTACATCAGTAGGAGCAGTGACGCCAAGGCGTCGACCCCGAGCAAAGCCGGGTGCTCAGCTGGTAATTTATAACTGAACACAAAATATCCTTCGGCGCAGTCGACACTCTGCAGTGAATATACACTGTCAAAGCAATAAATGATGGCGATCGCTACAAAAGGACTGAATTTAACTTAAAATGGGCTTTCTTCTTACACATTTGATCTTAAGGAAAATACAATAGTGCAACACTACGTTTCAAGTTATAGGTACTTGCAAAGTTTCATATTTTTTCATTCAGTAGTTTCTGAGAATATACTGTTCGCAAAATTTGGCCTTAGCTCCATTAGTAGTAAGATAACTGCACGCAAGCGTAATCCCGGTTCACTATGATGGTTCTCACCCTTTGACTCAATTTGAAACCAAGTTAAGGGCAACGAAAAAAGGTTGCACGTACTCTTGACAATAGTCAAACTAGGAGACGTGTGCTTAGCATTTCATTTGAGCACCCATGATGAGCACGCTTCGCAGCGAAGTTTTGGTAGGGGTAAATGAGCGGCTGCCATAACATTGCACGTACTAGAAATATTATAATTCGGGCCTATATTTAGTTGCTGTCAAAATGTCATATCCATATGTGAATCTTATGCGCTAAGTAACTTACACAAATTATTACAGGTTATATTTTTGTGTTATAAATTTATATGTCACGGTTTCATATTCGACATGCTTAGTATGCCGGGTTTTTATTCACCAGTAGTGCAATGCTAAAAATGCAATTACATTTTTATTTTTTTACAGTACAGTGTATGGTATAAAATGCACTATTTCATCCCAAATATAGACACTGAACATGCGTTGGTAATATGATTGTAGTGCAAAATGTTTTTTCTATACCAATAACAGCCGGCGTATGTTATTTTGCCTTAGTTTAAAATATGAAATCACATCTGAATTACAGACTGATTATAGAAGAGGATGTCGACAGGACGTCATACGCACAATTAAATATATAAAATATTCTCTTCTATAAAAAAGAATATCATTAGATCAACCTATTCTTTAATACCATACGTGGATTTGTTTTAGCATTGCATTTCCGGTGAAATGAATCCTTACATTTTATATATCACGCGTGAAACAGATCAGCTTTTTATTAAATATTTCCATAAATTATTCAGAGTACTATATTCACCGTATAATCGTCTGAAAAAAATTATAGACTTGAAATAATAAAGCATTTATTACACTCATTAACTTATCCTTCGAGTTCTTCAACGAGTGTTTACAATTGGCAATTTCACAAGTATAATAAATCTTGATCTACCAGCTTAATGTTGTTATAATTTTTTTAGAAAACTGATAACAGCTGGCGAAATAGTTCGGGACTAATCAAGTTCAAACGACCAGTTAAATAGACGAGAGTACTCATATAAGTGTCTCTCATGGAAACAAAATTTTAATGTTCATGCCTGTCGCAGTCAGAGACAAAAATAGACAAATTAATCAGATAATGTTCGATTCAAATGTTGAATTAAGAAATTGCATTTATATAACCTGTCGTTAGAATAGTAGAATAAAGACGACTTTGACTTTGAGTTCAAACTTTGCAACCAAAACAAATCAAAGACTAGAAGACGTTTTCTAGCATAGACTTGTGCATTGCACTAAAATACATCAACGCACTCAGACGATATCTCGGTCAACTATGTAGGGTTCCCTAATTTCAGTTAACTTCGACCGTTTGTACACCCCAACAGTAAGAAGCTATGCTTCTTCAAAAAATTAGTCTTGCTTCCTATGAAAATCCTGGCAAGTCATGTCGGGGAGATATTATTAATTGATCTCCAGCGAGGGAGGTAGACATTTCCCGGCGTATTCTTCTGCGGTCAGGCCTAAAGTATGTCAGATCCCCGTGCTTTAGCTTTCGTTTTTCAAGGAAGCGCGTTTTCGAGCAGACCCAAAAAGTTTCCCGTTTTCTCTGTACTTGAGAACCATGCAGAAAAAGTAAGTTTATTTTAATGGAAGAGTGTTCTTAATGATTTTTCCACCTTTAGAAAAATTTTATCTCTGTTTGCATGATGGATAAAAGCGTTAATCCTTGCTTTTATAGTCAGTGAGACAGGAAAAATAAAGTGGTCGACATTAGTGTTATTCGTAACTTCAACCGCAAGACATCACAAGATAATTGAAATGGTTGTTGAACCCAACATGGTGATACGGATAAGGCTAGCCCTGGCCTTGCATTATGCTAAAAAGATGTTGCTTAAATGCGGGATGGGGACGGGTGGGGTGGAGGTGGGGGCAAGAGATTGAAGGTGGGGGGAGGAGGGGATGGGCTCGGAGGGGTAGAGTGAAGGATGGATGGGAGTGGAGAAGGGAGGAAAATCTATATTGATAGAATGGAAATACATTGTATATCCAATGAATTGAAAATTTGGTGTATGTTATAAGCAATATTTTATTACGATATTTTATTACGACAGTTTCAAACAAAACGGAAAATAGAGTAATCAGAAATAGCACACAAAACGTATACTAACCACTACGATAAGAAAATTTAGGATAAGATGGGATAAGACAAGATAAGATAATACTTTATTGTCCCAGAAGGATTTTTTTGGCTTTACAGAAAGATAGGCAGAGGCAGACAGAGGGAAAAGATACTGGACAAGATGACAACATGGTTGGGAGCAGCAAGAACAACAGACACCATCGCTGCAACGCAGGACAGGGTGAAGTGGAGGTCCATGATCGCCCACGCCAGTCGGCAAGGCACCGGATGATGATGATCTGCCGTCGCGTGATTTTACAATGTGTATGGGAAGGGGTGTGATTGGTCGTTTAAAATGCTGTTTATCTTTTTTATGCTTCATCAATTCTAGTAAAATGATATTCAGAGATCTTGCTGGCTTTCTTAATCGTTCTGTTAGATTACATTTGCTTATTGTCGTTTTGTTTAGGAGCCATTAGTTTTTTGTAAAGCACGAACCCACTGGGCATCGATTCTATTAAAGTTTTGACATAATCATCGGTCATTTTATCCCAAATGGCACAGAGAGTTACAAACAAAGCGTCTGAATTGGGAGGAAAGTCGCATTTCTTAAGCTGCAGCTTCACTGGACTTCACTTGCCTGTAGAATTCGTATCGGGGTTATTTACTGATGATCACTCCAAGGAGGATATCATTTGGGTTTCTACAGATTGTCTTGGGGCATTGACACTATGAGAAAGTCCTCTGCTTTGTATGGAGTTCTCTTTTTGAATGACACGATGACGAAAATAAAGGTAGGTAAGACATGACATTCCAACACTTGCGCGATGTAATCCACTACACCAAACCGTACGGTGATTCACATGGGGGCAATTGTGTTCCTTCCACCCCAGACCACTCAAAACCATGACAGTTTCTTTGGCTCTGTTCCTCACTGAAAAATGATTATGTCCAAAATCTAAATAACCCTGTGTTTCCGTTCTCTACACGAAATCAACAGATCCTAAACAAAAACAAAATGTGTCATGAGACGGTGGAATCCGGCTTTCGTCAATTTTTGGGCTTCTGGAGTTATTGGAATCGTCTTAAAGGTTGTTAAAAGAAATACCAATTTCTCTTGAATACACGTCAAGATATTTGCAATTGAATGAAGTGGGGGTAGCCTGGTTTTAGAGGTGATATTAGTGAGAAAATGGCTGCCAATTCTTTTATTTTACAAAGCACGCGTGTCAGTGGAAACTGATAATGTCCTTTTTGTGTGCTTTTTGTGCTTGAATTAACGTTTTTCAGTAAAAATCCATGAAGGCATGGGTTCTTAAATGGACATAAAAGGTACTGAACCAAAGAAACAATATTTCGATAAAAATTGCGATACCGGTGGATTGTTTCTTATTATTCATTATTTTAACGAGCTCCTGATTTCACCATGCTGCCTCACAAATTGTATTAATGAGCACATTATGCCATTTTAAGTCCAGTTTCTGCGTGGTATTTCTGACTGTTCTGTTTTCCAGTATTTTTGAAATTATCATCAGAAGATGCTGTCCATTGCGGAGAAAACAAGATTCTCTTTTCATTTGATATTCAATTCATGACCAGTCCATCAACGTTGATGCATTTCAATATGAGCGGGAACACATTTTTACATTTCTTTAATTTTGCACAATTTTGCAAATCCTGATTTTTTAAGGTCAAATTTGAGTGACCATATCTTGGGTGTCTCATAACAGAGATAAAGTTTAAGGTGTCAGATGATGCCGAATTCATTTAGCTTTATATTGGTATGCTGAATGGGTGGGTAGTACAAGGCTATAATACGATGATTGGGTGATCACATTTTCAAGTTTCTTTTGGAGGCCACTGTATTTCACGAGTGAAATATAAGGATTTATTTTCAGCAGAAGAGCAATGCTAAAACAACTCCAAGTATGGTATGAAGTAATACTCCTAGACCGTGCAATTTTATGGCAGCCGTTCTTTGCCATCTATAAAATCTTCCCTGCGAAACCCCTCAACATGAGTGCTCTGGAAAAAAAATCTTCAAATCCATGTATGCTAACCAGGGACTTAGGGTTAGTGCTTTGAAATGACCGTCTTTGAAGCAAGCATGTAAGGTATTAAAGTTTATAAACGTACTATGTGTTTATTATCTCAAAATTAGAATTATATTTAAGATAAACAAGGAACTTACCAGGTCATCTGAGTTTGGATTCATAGCTCTTTTGACACAATAAGTTATGTCAGTCTGTTTAGTTTGAGCTACTGCAAAGCAGTCCTGCTTCAAGGTGGAGTCATTACATATGCTAGAGATCATCCTCGTTTGGAAGGCTTTACCCGGCAACAGGTTTGTTGCTGCATAGGATAACAGAAGATGTTAGTTCAAAAGTCTTGACAACGGAATAAATGTAAAAACACACATAGCACCGACAAAGCTAACAGTCTCTTAAAATATCTCAGTTGGAACAGTGTTGCTAGTGTTAGATCAAAATAGTTACAGGTAAATCGAAAGGACTGACATTATGACGTAAGCGAAAATATTTGGAATTAAGACTGGGTAATGTTTGCAGAAAATGGAAGATAATGATACAATACTAAATGGAACATAGATCTAAAGATACAATGGCTAATTCTAAAATAGCCAACAACGCTAACATTAGGTAGTCCTGACCAACAAGAGGAGACATGTCCAGCTATTATCGTAAATGGCAAACGTTAGGACAAAATTCTAAAGATCGCAATGTTAAAACATTGCTCAATTTTTCGTCACGTCACACTGAGGTCTGGCTGCTAGCTAGTAAGTTGGAAGTCGTTCGTAATATCTCAGAGCATTACATTTGTAGCTATTGAGTGTTACCACAATCTGACAGTCACTAATATGAAATCTCATAGAAAAACTATGTTTCCGCTTTCAGTCTACATTCCTTTCTAGGTGTCAAACAGACATTCTTCACTGCATTGTCGGAAGCTTCTGAGGATCGTGAAAATAAAAGGAAAATTAACAATAACCTGTATTTTCGATTAGTCACTAGGCCTCTAATTTGTCATAATATGAAGACTTAAAAGAATCCAAAATACCTGAGTGAAGAAAGAGAAGCTGGCCTGTTTTGTCATTTGTCGATAACATAACCGACTGGACCAAAAGAAAGAAGTAAGGCAAACGGTCAAGAAGAATGGAGAAGACTGACGAGGCACGAATCAACGGTAACGACCGACCATGAAGTGACGATTTGTAACAAGTAAGCACGGTACTGGAGTGTATTTTATCCACGGGGGGTACAGTTCGCAATACCTTGTAGAAACAGACTTAGATTTGGCGGGGTGGGGGGGAGGGGGTGATATAATGCACGGGACATACTGGCAAACCATGTTAATGTGCTGTAGGGTTTCCAATATCCTGAAATCTTTTTTCCACTCCAGACAGGAGAGTAAATTTCTGGTGGTCAAACATGGTGGCGCTCATCTCTGCCATCGGATACCCTGTACTTAAATTACACGTTTTAAGATGACCTTCGAGAAAACACCAAGTGTTCGAAGTTTTGACATAACCTAAAGTGTATGTATTAGAAGACCTATCAGCAGTACTTTGTGAGTTTTTTAAGCCCACCTGACATCAATCAAATGTTACACTTTCTCTTTAATAAATGGGTACTGACAAAAAATACTAATTTTAAAAACTTACCAGTCGGTGGGAGGCACTGTTTCATAATTTGAAGGCTGCAGTCTGTCGCAGTGACGAAGCCTTCTGTATTGTTGCAAAACTGGCGGTAATCCTGACAAAAGTACAAGACAGTGATTAAGCTTCTCATGTTTTATAAATTCTTATGTCATAAGAATAGGATTTATGTGCACATGATGGTGCAAACTTCTATGTTCCCTCAAAACTACAAACTGGAAATAAAAACAATGTTCCTAGTATTCCTTTACGTCTTTTCGGGTTCGGTAAAATGTGTATGCGAAAGGCATGTAACAAAATAATATAATGTTTTGCCACTCCGTGTTCCTCTGCGCGACACCGTATAGCACGTCGTATTTCAATTTCGTGTTTTTCCTTTCCTATGCGAAATCGTGTTCCCTGTTCAAGTCACTTTTGTATTATAAGGTGGTATTAACTTACTAGGAGCCGACAACACTTGAAGGATTACTTTTTGTTCACACAGGAATAACTCATTCCTTTATTGACAGACAGACAGACAGACAGACAGACAGAGAGACAGACAGACAGACAGACAAAAAACAGACAGACAGACAGACAGACAGACAGAAAATAGATAGATAGATAGATAGATAGATAGATAGATAGATAGATGTTTGTTTGTTTAGTATAGGGTTTTACGGCGCTCGCAACCGCATAAGGTCATATGAGCGCGCGGGACACACCTAATACTTTTTCGTTGGTAGGAAATTTTTGAATTTTGCCCGGGTGGCGGCCGAAGCCTACTCTTATCGATTTTAGACCACCAAGGGATCTTTAACGTGCGCAACTTGCACACTGGCCCTCCGAGATTTGTCGCCCTTGTCCGAGAAGACTAGGTGTAGATCTTTCCTACCAGAAGATCAGGGGTGTGGCAGAAAGACAGCAGTTAGGAGGAGCCAAGGAGTAGCAGTAGAAAGGCTGCAGAAAGAGTCAGGAGCCCAGAGGAGGGGGCAAAGGAGGTGAGGGGGTGGGGGCAGAAAGTGGAAATGAAAGCAGACAACAGAACATTGTTAGAGATCAGGAAAGGATGTGAAAGGAGACAATTTTAGAGAAGAAAATGTTTTGGTCGCTACCCGGAATTGAACCCGGGACCTTTGAATGAGAGGCCAACACCTTAACCTCTAGGCCACGAGAGCCCCCAGATAGATAGATAGATAGGTAGATAGGTAGATAGATAGATATATAGATAGATAGATAGATAGATAGATAGATAGATAGATAGATAGATAGATAGATAGATAGAAAAATAGAAAGAAAAATTTAAACAGGTATTTTCGTAAGTGTTACTTACATTATCTTTTACCATTGGTTGTCCACTGCTGAAGTCATAATACTGCAACATCCCGGCGTCTTCGATGCAGACGCGGAATTTGTTAATCAGTATAGATTTGTCGTAGCAAAAAGAAGGTGTGCCGCAGGACAAGCCACAGGCTATCCAAATTAGGAGAGCTGTTGATAAGAAAAACAGAAGTAGATATTTATTCAGATCTAAGTTTGCAACTGAAAATTGTGCACTTTCAAAGAGCAAAAGAAAAAAACAAGTTTTCTATTGAATTACTTCGCAGCGTTTACTTATCGCAAGTAGAAGAGTCCAATTACGTAAAAAGTTTCCTCCGCTAGACGGAAAGATAGATAAGAAAATAGAAATCAGAACTAAAAGGCCAAAGTTGTAAATAACCAATGTTTTCACATCCTTGCATCTCAATGGAAACCAAGCGACAACTCATTAACAGCATTTTCATACCAGGATTGTGCTACCATGCCCAAATATGGACAATGAACAAGATTCATCACGGTAAAATAAGTGCTTGTGAAATTAATAAGAGTTCTTAGAAATACAGGGTGATCCCCCCCCCCCCCCCCCCCCGAAAAAAAAAATGTACAACTTTTTTTCAGAATATCTCTCTCACAAAAAATAGTGTTTGTTCTAGAATGCTGTAATTTGGAACACACACAATTCATTCAAAATTAATTTGCTTGACATAAAATCCATGAAGAAGAAACTTGAAAACGTAAATGGCTTAAAGAAAAAAGCACTCATAAATGAAAAGTTCAACAAGTGTTTAAACCTTGTACAGGATGCCGTGAAACGATTGGTTGGCCTTTTTCTTTATTTTCTCTTTGGCAATTAATTTTCCATCCCTGTAACATTTAAACAATATTCTATTTCTTTCCTAAAGTTTTATAAAAAAACCTTTTTTTCTGGAATTCCTAGAAGTTGTCCTCTACTTGCCATCCTTTGGACTCGACACATTTTTAACACGTCGTTCGAAACGTTTACTGGCGCCCAAACACAAGGACCTGCTAAATCATGAGTGTTTAAAGCTACATACAAGGTACATATTCCGTATGAAGTGACTTCTAGAGACTTTAGGGAGAGGGGTGCCCAATAGCCAGCATTTTTGGAGTTAACATATCCCGCAGGGGGAAAGTGGGCTTTGCACTAATTAACCAAATGTCATCGGGGAAATGTTCTCACTTTTCAAGACAATCGAATAATCATGAACGCATCGCCCTGCCATGCTCCGATCCATGTAAACGCGGCTTAGCGAAGATGGAAAAGGTACAGTCGTAGATTAAGATCTGCCTGGAGAATGCAGTCCGCTGAGGTGTAGGAAAGCCTAGAAGCAGATCGTCTGCGGACTGACGTCTAATGGGATTCGACTACTGATATCTGCACCCTGGTGACGTTCAAAAGGCTGAGAATAGTGTATGTCCGACCTGAAGCTATCATTATTTTTTTAAAGGAAATGTTTTGTTCTGATTCGCTATAGATCCAAACTGACGGAACTTCTCTACTCATGACACCCATTTTTCCATTCCGTGTGCAGAACTTACGGAATGTCAGGGATGGTGAGTTTGTTGAGAGGTAATGTTCAATACAAACAGCTCTCTGCTCTTAACTTAACTTAACCATGATCTCAGCAGGCAAAGGAAATTTGGGAAAAAAATATCAGCAAACTTCTGATGACTTGTTAAACTGATTTAGCTCGCAATATGGCGCGATTGTTGCAACTTTTAGTGAAAGGCCTAATGTGAACTGAAGCGACATGCTACAAAAAGTCAGGACAAGGTTGGAAAGGGGTTGTTTTGTTTAATGCGCCATACAGACCAAACCCATTCAATGGACTTATCTAAGACAAGCTTGGTACAGTAGAACTCGGATTCAACGAGGTCGCCGGGCCTGGCCTAAAACCTCGTTGAATCCAAGTGTTCGTTATAGCAAACATGAGGTTTTGTGTAAATAATTACAGGCACTGAGCAAGTAATGTATAAAGAGAAGTCACAAGTAGTGCCTGAAATGCCTTCATATTATTATGCGCTGTAAAAAAAAAAAAAAAAAAGACCGATTCGTTCAAATGCACACGCCTGTGTCATCTCGATTGTTTACCAAAAAGTTGTGTTGCTGTGAAGACCCTTGCATACGGCAACTTTTGATTCCATAGGCCAGCGCACAATTCATTACGTAGATTCACGTCAAGACTAGGCTAGCTTTTCATTGTAATAATGATCAGTTGCCTAGAGAAAAAAAAAGACTGTGACGTGGTTGTACCTGCGATGTTCATCGCCCGGACCGCTATTAGACAAATTCCATTTGGCTTCCAAATATTTTGTTCAAATTTGATAAGAAGAATTTCTGTATGGAGGAAGATATTTACAAAACAAGCTGTAACGTGTTTGTTTTGTTTGTTAGTTGTTGTATTTTTGGCTCACTCTGTACTTTGACATCAGATGAAATGATATGGTGAGGAATGAGATTGTCAGCGAACAGGTTGACCTGATATCATGATTGGAGTACATAGATAAATAACGAATAAAAATGGCTTAGGCATTTGTCAAGACTCCCACCAGATAGTACAGCAGTAAAACCAAACAGTCAGACATCAGATGAATACAAAAAAGAGGCAGGCCAAAGAAAAGATGGATAGAGCGGGTGCGATAAAACTGGGACAAAGACAACACACCCACGCAACAGACAATACAATAAGCAAGGGAAAGACGTTTGTTTCTCCCATCGACACTGTAAGATAAAAGAGGCCGAAAAAAGTAAGGGAATTTAAATTAAAAACTTATCGAGGCTCACTTTAATTCTTCTGATTACATCTAAAAACGCAATATTATGTTCAATCGCGAATTATGACACTTGGCAAAGTGTTTTTGATGTTGATTTCTTTCTCGCGTGATTTGGCGTGATTGAAGTGTATTCATTGACAGTGTTCTGATTATTTACTTTTGAAAGGGCCAGATAATCTCCAAACAATAAAAGATAGGGTCTTTTTGGTAACACGGTTAGACCACTTGTGTAATTAAAACTCTTTTAGAAAAGGTCGGTGAGGTTGACTAGGCAATTTGTTGTTACAATTTTTTTTAACCCAGTTTATTGAAACAATTTTCTGTGAGTTGCTCAAGCAATAATTCTAGATTTTACACTGCCAATAGCCTCAAGGCACTCGGCCTTTTAGAATCAGGCATGTAACTAAGAGAAACTTTCAGAAGCCTGGACCGTAACGCCAGTGCACTTAATAAGTTGGTAGACAGGAAAATAACCACCCACGATGCTGTTGAGAGACAATGAAATAGCCACCCACCAACAACTACCCACCAATGAAACAGGCAAATTATTATTATTATTATTATTATTATTATTATTATTATTATTATTATTATTATTATTATTATTATTATTATTATTATTGTTATTATTATTATTATTATTATTATTATTATTATCATTATTATTATTATTATTATTATTATTATTAATAATATTGTTATTCCGTCTCATGTTTTACGAATCAATGCCAAATAGCATCTGCAACATCAGCAGGGGTCCATAGAAGATGAGGTGTTGTGTATCCAAACGCCATCGCCAATCGACGTGGGATTTGCTAATCGAAGACCGCATACTATTAGTATATCTTTTGAGCTATATGTAGGCGAGACAGCATCTTTGTATTACCAGGCATCCATGGAACAACGCAAGGGACCATACACCTCAAGCTCTATAACATTTTCCACAAACAGGGCTGGCCAGCCTTTCCAACCGCCATGTCACTTTTAAGACGAACTTGCCGCCATTTGCACATCAGGTGTGTTTTTTTCAACAAGAATAGGCAGTAATTCCTCAATGTTTGATTTAAAACCTCATTCGGTCCGTGAGACAACGTATTTAAGCCTATCTGGATGCCAGAGGTGTACGTAACCGCAATTAGAGACCCAATAGTGTCACGATTAGAAAAGGAAAAATGGCGGACTCGCTTTTAAAAGTGATATTGTCCCTGCTGTAAACCTTTTAAAATCTGTAGAAACCACCCACTGAGATGTGTTATTAGTATTCATTAAAGAATTTTCTAGAGCACAGCTAACGGGTCTTTACAAAAATACTGATCTGTTAAGATGAATTGATACAAGTCATTGTTAAAAGTTGGAGGCTTTATGTTTGATAGTTGTGGAAATTAAATTTGACAATAAGTTGCGCCACGAAATTTTCACCACACTATTATAGTTATCTGTTCTACTTGAGAACGTTTCCACGTGTGATTTATTAATACATCGTTCAAATTTGACGTACTGAATGCTAAATGTCTGAAAGCTCAGACTTACAATTATCAGTTTGTAACCGCGCTTTTAAACGATTAGGATCAACCGGCGAGCCAAGATTGTGAGTTTGTATGACGTAAATAAGTGCATGTAATATGCACGTTAAAACTTTGACTTTGATCCATTATTTGTAGTTTCCTTTTTTCATTCTGTTTTTAAACCTTAAACATATTTTCCCAATATCCTTGGTTCAAAAGCAGATATCTTGGAAACGCAGAGTGCTGAACAAAAGCCATGTAGAAACCGTAGTTACAATTATATATCTTTTCACCTAGACTATCGACCTTGGTATCTTTTTCTATTCGTATGTGTCCATGAACAGCCAAGTAAATCAGGCCTCTGAGTATTTCTACCTTGATCTCAGAAGAATCAAAAAGATAAGGCACCTTATTTCAACTGCTTTTGCATCCATGATCTCTGTGTCACCCATCTTGTTAAAATGAAACTCAACCATTCCAGCTCTGTTTTAGTTGATATCTCATGTGAGAAAATGAGGAAATTAGAAGTAACCCAAAATAATAATGTAAGTAGGTATACTAGTGTGAAAAGAGGAAAAAAGATCCTGCACCATGTTAAAACCGGTCCTAGCTTTCAGTTGAAAAAAGTAGTAGTAGTAGTAGTAGTAGTAGTAGTAGTAGTAGTAGTATAATTAGTTTTATTATTATCATATTGTTATTATTGATATTATCAACATCGTTCTTAACATTAGCATTGTTCAATAACAGTTTAAATATCTAGGATATTTAATAACATCAGATGCCAAATGTTCCAAAGAAATAAAGCGAAAAATTGCAACGGCTAAGGCTGATTTCAAATAAAATGAGCTCAATCCCGAAAAGAAGAAACATCTCAATGACTACCACAATGAAAGTTCTGAAATGCTAAGTATGGTTTACCCTTCTGTATGGCTGAGAAAGCTGGGCAATCACTAAAGACAGTGAAACTAAAATGGAAGCAACAGGAATGCTGTTTCTTAGGAGACTGTTGAGAATATTGTGGAATGAAAAGAAATCAAATAAGGTAGTACTTACTTGATGAAGCCCACGTTGGACGCTAACTGCTATAATCAATCACGAAAAGACCAATTAAATGCAGTTTTTGCGACACCTTAATAGACATAAAGGTCTTGAACATCTAGCTCTCACTGGCAAAATCAAAGGCAAACAAGGCAGAAGCAGGCCTAGAGCAATGTACTTAGAGAATCTAAACAAATGGGTAACGGGGAAAGATCAGGGTAATGTAGCTTTCTGAAGAGCATCCGAGCAAAGAAATTAATGGAGAAACATGATTGCCGATGTCTGCTGCAGATCTAGTACTTGATGATGATGGTGAACCTTCTTTTTAAAGTTTGATTGCATTCAATATATTATATTTTAAGTACACACATATATCCATTGCTTTTTTTTAATGTGATATCTTTGGAAATGAAATGAGCTTTGAGATTTTTTTAGAAAATGGAAAAGTGCAGCAAAAATGCTACTAATCATTATTACTATTATTAATATAATCATTATAATCATTATTATCATTATCATTAT